AGAGTATTTTTTAGAATTAAGTGTGTCTCCTTTTACTTAAATCTGAGTACTTCTTCCACCTCTGAAAGCTAGGCTATAACAGGCTTCATGTGAATAAATCAAACGGCCACCAACACGTGGTTTGAGCAGTTTGAGTCCCAGAATAAATGATTATAAATACTATTTGCTTTGCTTTTGTCTTATTCCTCTTAAAGAAGGACACCGTCAGCCTCTCTGCGTACAAACGTGACGATTGGGGAGTCAGTCAGTGATCTTTCTGAAATGAGATATTAGAGCCAAGCAGGAGAAAGCAAAACAGAAAAGGGCAAATGGGAAACAGAGACAGGCATGATGCATACCTCGGCCTTTTCTTTAAAGCGACACTGAATCTGCGTGGCCAATCCATTACCGGAGGATGACATTCAGAGTCAGAAATCTCTCCTGATGAGAAATAAATGAGTTGCATCACATGCTGCGAGTGGGGGGGGTGGGGGGGGGGGGGGGGGGGGGCGTTCACAAGCACACATTTGTCAAATCAATTAGTCGACTTTGCACCCCGTGTTGGTGATAACTCGTGCAGAGATAACGGAGCTGTGATAGGCCCTTTAATAATAATGTATATTATGATGTACTGTGGAAGAAATCAGGACGAACCTTTAACGATGTCATATTGATACAGTGTCATTTTAATTTGCTTTACGTAGTTTTTATATGCAATAGTACTATTTGACATTGTGCAGCCCTTGACTTAATGTATCTCTATCCCGTCAGTGGCTCAGTCAGTAGGGGCTTGGACTGGAGCCGTAGGGTCGCCGGTTCAAGTCCCCGAATATGGAGTGTGGACTGCTACTTGGAGAGGTCCCAGTTCACCTCCTGCCCTGCCGTGGTGCCCTTGAGCAAGGGCACCGGACACCCCCCACTCCCATTGCTCCCTGGGCGCTGTACAATAGCTGCCCACTGCTCCTAGTACGAGCCTCCTGGTTCCATGATGGGTTAAAAGCAAAGAACACATTTCACTGTGTGCTCTGTGAGACCATTAAAGCGGGTCTCTGATTCTATCTCTCTGTATATATAACTTTTCGGATGTGTAATTGAGTAGATCATTTGTTTATACATAACTTAAAATCAGTAATATTTTTGTATATCAATTTGACACTGCTTAATTTTGTTTTGTATGATAACTCTCATGGTCAATTGTTGTATTATTTTTGTACACATTCGAAATAAATCAAATCACTTTTACACAGTTTATTTCCAGGAATATTTAGATATTTTTTTAACAACAGAAACAATATCTTAAACAAATACAAATAGCTCCTTACAGTCCTGCATTGGGATTTTACTGGAGCAAGAATACTGTATAAGATCATTTAATGAAAAACTATATATAGCTTAAAGTTTAAACAAAGAAAAAAAATGTTTGGTTATAATTGGAATATTTTACATTATTGGAATATAATAGTAAATTATTACAGAAGTTGGTTAAAGCTAATTTTAACAGCTTGTTGCACGATTGGACGGTTTATTTCAGCTTGTATATAAACGGACTGTAGGCTAAATGTTTTATTAATATAATCTTGACAGTCTTATAATACAGATAAACACAATGTGCAATATTTTCCACTAAAACATTGGAAAACCCTTGTGTTGTGTTCCTAATCTATGTTACCACCTTTCAAAGCAACTGCAATCCTACTTATTAAGACAAGTGTTATTCTTCTTTTTGAAAAGTAGGCAAATGGACCTCATTTCCACAAAATCCAACCTCATTTCTGAGGATTTACAAAAGGAAAACATATTGAACGATTTTTTCATAATTGACCCCTAAAAGACCACAGATGCTATAATTTGGAATAAAACCCAAACCCTAATGAAAGGGATCATATTTATACAACATAGTATACAAGTAAACGTGTTATTTATCTGGCACTAACATAAAATAAACCTTAATCCCAACATAAAAACATTCGGGAACAAATTGGACCCAAGGACCTTCATTTTAGGTTATAAGTGGCCTTATTTGTACTCTATAAAAGAATATAATGCATGTGTTACTAGCACTAAATCAATCAATCAATGTTTATTTATATAGCCCAATATCACAAATGTTACATTTGTCTCAGTGGACTTCACAGTGTGTACAGAATATCAGTATGACAATACGACAACCTCTGTCCTTAGACCCTCTGTCCTCAGACCCTCTGTCCTTAGACCCTCTGTCCTTAGACCCTCTGTCCTTAGACCCTCACATCGTAAAGGAAACACTTCCAGAGAAAACGCACAGTTAAAGGGAACATGGGAGAAACCTCAGGGAGAGCAACAGAGGAGGGATCCCTCTCCCAGGACGGACAGACGTGCAATAGATGCCGTGTGTAAATCCAAGAGATAATACATTTTACAGCATATAGACCGAATGTTAGGAAATGCATGTGTCTGTAATAAGAAGATGAATCCACGAGGATGTCAGCTACAATCCTGTGGGAGCCATCAGGGAGGTAGTTTGATGAGAGTCAGGCAGGACCGCAGGGACAGGTTCAGCCACGACTCGAAGTCCAGGACTCAGATCAGGATCCAGATCAGGACTCAGATCAGGACTCAGATCAGGACTCAGATCAGGACTCAGATCAGGACTCAGATCAGGACTCAGGTTCAGCCTCGACTCCGGATCCCGGCGTATATAGACACCAAAAAGAAAGAAATGTGGGGAAGCTGGGTTAATGGGAACATGAGAGTACACAGGTACAGACAGAGAGACGGAAGAAGTAAGGTGTCCCCCCACAGTCTAAGCCTATAGCAGCAAAACTAGGGGCTGAATCTAATCAGCCCCTAACTATAAGCTTTATCAAACAGCAAGGTCTTAAGCGCACTCTTAAAAACGGATAGGGTGTAAATAACAGCTTACATTTGAATAAAACCCAAACCTGCTGAAAGGGATCATACTTATACAACATAGTGTACAAGCAAACATGTTATTTCTCTGGCAGCGACATCAAATAAACCTTTATCCCGACATAAATACATTTGGGAACGGTTTAAATTTGACCCTTGGACAGCAAGAAGGTCAGGAGTCCAATATTCATCAAAGGTTATAAGTGGCCTTACTCTATACAATCCTATAATGCATGTGTTACTAGCACTCAATAACAGCTTAGAGGCTGAGCCTAATGGCTAATGAGAAGATGTTCGTCACTTCATCACAACACGCGTCTCAGTTTGGACTCAATTTGTAAACAATGTCTCAAACTATTCTCCAGAAATCAGTGTATCTGTATCTGATTTGAAATTACAGCCACGCTCTGAAACAAAAGGCTTCAGTGTTGTCTGAATAACATGAGAGTATGAAAAAGGGCCAGCTCTAATGTGACGGCTTTATGGAGCATGTGACTCCTGCCTCGTGTCCCGAATATAAATCTGTGGTTGTCGAGGGGACGGTTTGGGTCTCTTCTGTGTGAGGGGAAACATCTCGTGTTGAATGGGTTGATTAATAAAGTGCGGGAAATCTGTGTGTGGGATGTTTTGAAAGTGTGTTTACGTTTATTGAAGATTAAAGTAGAGGAATAAGTGCATTTAAAAACAGCCATTCTGCATTAAGAGTACTTTTAGTTTTGGTACATTCATACTTTTACTGAAGCAAAACAATGCATATTTCTGAACTATGGTATTACTACTTTTACTATTCCTACTTTTGGTAAATAAAGTATACTATATAGTTAGCGCATCAATAATTATAACACAAAAACGTAATATATACGATTAAGAAATTGGCCATACTACATAATAAGTACACATGGTACTTAAAGTATATTTCGATGCTTATACTTCTGTACTTTAACTTGTAACTGAGTATTTTAAACTGTAGTATTTGTACTCAAGCAAAACAAAGCATATGTCATTCCCCAGAAGCAGATTATTTTTCTGAACTATTGTATTACTACTTTTACTATTAGTACTTTTGGTAAATAAAGTATACTATATAGTTAGCGCATTAATAATTATAACACACAAATGTAATATATAGGATTCAGAAATTGGCCATACTACATAATAAGTATATATGGTACTCAAAGTATATTTTGATGCCAATACTCTTGTACTTGTAACTGAGTATTTTTAAACTGTAGTATTAGTATATTTTTCAAGTAGAATACATGAGAACTTCTTCCACTTCTGTGAAAGGTTTTGACAGCATGTAGCATTACCTGAGAACCAGCAGGGGGCGTATTCGATGCAGATAATCCTCAAGCTCTGAAAAATGCTTTAATATTGAATGTGATTCCAATTCAAAAATGTGTTGTGTTGTGTTTGCATACACATGAGCCTAATCATCAGTAAATACATTAAGAGCAAACCATTTCAACGTAGGTTTAATTGGATTAAATGCATTCTTGTTATATTCAGTTCTGTGTTTATTCAATTTCAAGTTCAATACTCTGTTTTTATTCATCACAAAGTGATCTGTTTTTGAACTGGTTGTGTTTGTGTTACTTCTGGGTTGTGACGCATTTAGTGTGACTTGTTGTGCATGGAAAGTGCTATAAAAATAAAGATTGATTGATTGGTTAATTGGTTGGTTTGTTAAAATGTCGGTTGGTTGTTTAATTGGTCATTAGGTTGGTTGGTCAGTAAGTCAGTCATTAGATTGATTGGTTGTTTGATTGGTTGGTCGGTCAGGCAGTCATTTGGTTGACTGGTTAATTGATTGGTTAATTAGTTGGTCGGTTGATCGGTTGGTCAGTCAGTCATTCTATTGATTGATTAATTGGTCAGTTTGTTAATTGGTCGGTTGATCGGTCGGTCAGTCAGTCATTCGATTGGTCGGTTGGTTGACTGGTCGGTTGGTCGGTCAGTCAGTCATTCGATTGATTGATTGGTTAATTGGTCGGTTGGCTGATTAATCATTTGGTTGGTCAATCGGTTCGTCGGTTAGTCTGGCAGTCAATTGATTGGTTGATTGATTGATTAGTTGGCTGATTGATTGGAAACACAGCCCACTGCTCTGAAACACAACTATCAAAGCAAAGGATATTAATGTTTCCTTTATTACTGAAATGTGTTTATGTATGTAAAACAGCACATAAGGAACATTTCTCTGTGCAAATACGTTTCAACAACAACCACAGAGTCTCATAAAAACCAACAACAATTTATAGGTCCTCTGAAATAAATATGCTTACATTTAACAAAAGTTTAACACCCCATTACTTGTGTCAAATAAGAGGGCGAAAGTGCATCGTCTTAAAGATAGGGAAGGGTGTAGCAGGATGATTGAAGCAGATTGAGGGGGGGTTAGGAGGTATATTGAATTGTTTTTGTTTATTCCCCTTGCAGTGAGGTGGGGGTACCATCAGTGTGAAAGGGCATCAAGTGCAAAACCACTATGGTGTCAAACGCATCTCACAATTTGATATTAAACACTAAAAAGGAAGTTTGGGGAGTGCAACAAGTGCTCCATGGCTGTCAAGGTGTTTCACTGCAACACAAGTATCACCTGAAGCCATATTGAAGAATAATACATTAATAATTGTATAGGTCGCAACGATTACATTTACCAACGCTTCAGAGTAATATTCATAATACTCAAGAAGCCCACTTTAGGGGCCTCTTCTTGCAAAACACTGTGTGATGAGGAGCAGATTCCACTTTCAGATACATTGTCCTTCTGCAGGGGAAACACATTGAAAGTGTAAAGATTTGAAGGGGAATTAGATCTGTGCAGTGTGTTATCGCAGATACTGAAATAACACAACTCTTCTCATATGCCTTTTTTCTCATTTTAGCAACAAAGCTCATGTTTCCAAAGGTAATTATGACTCCTGAAAACCCCAGAGGAGACAGAGTGACACCAGAACTGTTCAGCATGTCTGTTATACTATCACTGTTTATCAAGGAGACCAAGGTATCTATTCGGACCATTTCAGATGCAAACACGCATGCTTTTAAGTGTGAAAGGTGCCAGTTTTGGGAGGCAGCTCTATGTCGGAAACCCTGTTTTGTATCTTCCGTTGTTTAAGTGACAGAAAGAGGAAATCCCTGTGGCCGGTGCATGGGTTTCTATCATGATGAAAGTGAAGGTTTAATGACACATAACAGGGTCAAAGCTTTAAACACCATATATGTGCAGTGTTCAAAGAAAGCATCCTGCAGAATCAGCTTGGGTTGGAGAGGTCTCATTGAAAAAGGTGAACCAGAAGCACTCACCACTTCTCTGTGCACTATTTACAGTTTCTTTGTAATCCAATTACATAACCTGAAAATGAAATAAGTAAAAGTACAATCTTCCAAATTGTCGTGGAGGACAAGTAGCATGAAAGGGAAATGCTCCAGTAAAGTAAAAGTACCAATACTTCAGTAAAGTAATTGAGTCGTTTTTTTTAAACACTGTTCGCCCAAAACATCTGGATGCACTGATTTGGTCAACTGGGGGGGGGGGGGGGGGTGAAGGTTTACTTCCTGAAGCAACAAGGTGACTCACAATGAGACATAACGTCAATTATGTTTACAAAAGTGCCTTTCAGAAGCCTGTCATGCAGTAACGTTTCCAAGCGCAAGGTCAAAAACACAAGCTTTGTAAAACCTGGAATATGTGCCGTGTTCAAAGAAAACATCCTGCGGGAACAGCTGGAGCACACTTTGTTTTGAAAAGTGGTGTGGACACTTCTTTCAGATTTAAAAATGTTATGCATGCTTACAGTATTTGTTAGAAACACCTTATGACGTCTGAAGACTTTGCTTCGCTCTTCAATGTCACATCCGACACACGTGACATTGAAGAGCGAAGCAGAGAGAGATGTAAAATGGACATTTGGAAACGTCTTGTTAAAGTTTCTTATCGATGCATGGAAGTGTTGAGGTCATTTTAGAATCAGTATGCTCTTTTAGCGTTCTTTACTTATTTTTCTTTAACTAGTGCATTGTCTGTGCCCTGCTTCTAAAGCGGGATGTTTGATTCCCTATTTTCTATTCAAAGTTTACTTAAATTAGTCACATGTCTAAATTGCATCATTTGGGTTCTCATAACCCGACAGTGTTAGCGGACACAGAGTTCTGTGTTACATTGCTTTGTGCACGCTATTTCTCAAAACATATTTAAATTAAACTTTTAAAAAGTCGTAGGGACATTTCTCCAGCAGAAATGTGCACATTTAGTAAGGTCTCCAAGAAAAGGCTGATCCGGACTATTTACATTTCTTTTGTAACCCAATAACTGTGAGGCTTCTCACATAAACATACAAGCCTCCATAAAAAACAAACTCCACCCCCTGGAAAGTCAGAAGTGAACACACATCTGTACACAACACAACAGTGCTTTGTTGAGCTATGAGAGTGGACAGTGTATCATACAGTGAGTGGCATTGTGGGATATGCATATAATAAAGCAGGATAGTGGGGAGGGGGAGGAGGGAAACCCTGGAAATAAATTCACATTCAGTCATCAAAGCAACCACAGGAGCGTTCACTGTCAATCCACCACTTCAGGAAAAGAGAGTATCGAGGGGTCATCATGTCGGCCACACAACACGGTGTTTGCAATACTGATAAAAAGGCCATTTTGGACGATATTCACTCCTATATAAAAAGTAGAGGGCGCCTCAGCCCGCCGTCAGTCAGGCGTTTCTGCGCGAGTTGCTGGTGGCGGAGGAGCGGCCCGTCTCGTGGTCCGGTCTGTATTTGAGCCAGCAGATGAGCCATGTCACGACCACCGAGAACATGGCCAGGATGCTCGCGACCGACAGGCAGATGGGTCCCGCGGGCGAGGGGGGGGTGCTGTGGCTGTGCACGAAGATCAGGCCCATGAACAGCAGCACGAGCATGGACAGGAAGGAGAAGATGACGCACACGCAGCCGGTGGTCAGCGCCACCCTCTTGCAGCTCTGACAGCTGTCGTAGCGCACCGAGTCCTGCGAGAGGGTGGTGGCGGTGGACACGGTGCCGGTGGTGGACGGGGTCGCCTGGCTGACGCTGCTGTACGTGCCCTCCTCCCGGCGGAGCGCGAGGAGAGCCGGGTGAAGCGAAGGGGGGAAGGGAGGCAGCGCGTCCTGAGGCAGAGGGTCCGAGTCCATGTACAGCGGGAAGTCCTCCGTCACCTTGGTGTTGTTGGGCAGGTTTTGTATCCGGTAATCCGGCACGGGGGTCCGGTGGCGACACACGGGGCAGCTGATGCGCCATGGCCGCTCCTCGCGCAGATGGAGCGTGTTCAGGCACTCCTCGCAGAAGGTGTGCAGGCACTCGAGGATTTTAGGAGCGCGGCGGTCAAGGTCGAAGTAATTGTAGCAGATTTTACACTCGTACTCCTCGTAGGGGAAGGCAGCGGCGCACGAGGGGGGCTCCGCCGGGGCGCGAGGAGCCACATCTACCTCTGCCATGTCATCTTTCGCCATGCACGCGCTCTCCGGTGAACACAAAGGGAGCTCGCAGGACAGATGCTGATGACGGTGCACGTCTCTCCTCCCGCCCCCCCCCTCCTCCTCTCATTGAAACGCCATCATCCCCGTGGACAGTGTTGTTATTATCACCCAACCCCCCTACACACACACACACACACACACACACACACACACACACACACACACACACACACACACACACACACACACACACACACACACACACACACTCTGCTTTATGAACAGGCTGTTGCTTAGATAAGCGGTTTTAAAATAAAAAGCGGTCATATAATGATTGGCAGTGTGTGTGTGTGTGTGTGTGTGTGTGTGTGTGTGTGTGTGTGTGGTGTGTGTGTGTGTGTGTGTGTGTGTGTGTGTGGTGTGTGTGTTGTGTGGTGTGTGTGTGGTGTGGGGGGGGGGGGGGGGGAGATAATGGATGATGTAATGGCGGTGACTCCTCATCCAAGGGGGGGCAGTCCCTTTAATGGGTTGTTGTTGTTGTTGTTGCTTTCAGTGCTCTGTTTAGCAGTTCTCATATAACATTTTAGTACTGCAGAAATATAGAAATACTCTATTACAATCTAAAGACAAAGTACCAAAGTATGCATTACAATAAACTTAAAGCACCAAAACCAAAATCACTCATTATGCATCATCTTCGAAAAATAAATATAACATCACTTTGTTATCAGTGATCCATTAATGTGTCATTTTAATAATGACTTCCCATCACTGGTTGTAATCACGTCAGAATCATCCGGACGCACTCATTTGGTCACTGTTTCCTAATTCTCTGCTTCCTGTTAGAGCATCCGAACCCACAGCGAGACGTTACATCAGAGGAGACTCATGGGACTGAATCATTATGAAAAGAGCTTCATTTGGCTCTATGGTGATTCTTTTTAAATGTCATATATTATGTACTTGTCTTGATGCTTTTAATATTTGGTTGTAAAGCCCGTTGGATTGCCTTGTTGTTAAAGTGTGTCATATTAATATGCCTCGCCTTGATAAAGGAAGTTAACATTTATTCATAAATCATCGCAGGATCACGTCGAGTGGATGTAGAAAATGGGTGTTTTAGAATTGTACCGGGTCATTCTACAGAAAAGGTGGAAGTGCTGTCACTTACTTTTACAGACACCAAAATACATGACGTTGACCTAATACTCACATTCATTATATATGTTGAATAAATAGAGATTGTCTTTGCAATGGTACTAAATACAAAATAAATAAAAAATGGTTTTATACGTAAATTGCAATTTATTTAAAATGCCAAGTTCAAGGAACTGCCTTGTCACTTTGATCATACATGGAAGTGGAGCCTTTAATTTAAAAGATTTTTTTTTCAATAAATAAATCTAATTTATATTTACATAACATTACAAGCATTAGCATTAGCATAGGCTAACACTGAAATGGTGAAAAAAAACGCAAATTATTATTAATAATATCAAATAAATGTCAGTCACCCAAGATGACGTCATTGGTGTTACTGCTACACAAAACGCTTTTATTTTGAAATAATGTACTATCTCTGAAGTGCCTCCTGTAACAAGAGATCATTTGAGGCAGTGGACAAAGACATAAAGAAAGTCAGATACTTCTTACTTTGTTTGTTAAAGGTGTCATTTTATCTTAAAATGTTACATGCGTCTTTCAAGTCTGTCATTAGTGTTACTCATTGCATAGCCCTCGGGGTGAACATTGGAATGGGAAAATGTATTGTATTGAAGAGTTAAACAATTTTGATATTGACTGAAGCCATATTTGGTCTGACACATGGCAGCCATTTTGTTAAAATGGTAGTGTTTTCTCCAAATTGTCACTGGTGTTACTCTTCTTCTGTAACACGTAACACCAGTGACGTTCCTATATAAATAAGCTTTGTATAAAGTATAAAAATAATTAAAAACATTAAAGTACTTTAGCTCTACTTGTTGTGGATTCATCAAGTTAAGAGTTAGTTATTGCTATTTAACAGGTTTTACATGTTTTTAGAAGGAATATATTTCAGCAGATTTGTATCACCCAGATTCCACCTTTTCTGTAGAATGACATATGAATGAATGAATGAATCCTAGATCAGGTCTCTAGTCATTGTGCGCTCAAAGTGCACCAGATTGAAGCATTTTACTTTAAAATGTTCAAAACAATCTTCGATAGGGGGCACACCCCCAGACCCCCCTAGAGGATGTGACCACCCCCCAATTCAAACATGTTCATACAATAATGAATACATTTGAAGCCTTTTTGATGTAACCAACATGTCAATACGTTTTTGTTTTTGTAGTGAATTTGTCTTTTGTAGAGATTTTTCATTTATTCTTTATATATTATATTGTGTATTCCTTGGATACTCTATTGATCTGTATCTTTTCTACGATTCTCTGGCTGGGGCCAGCTAAAATCTGGCCTATAGCAGCAAATTGTCTCGAACCGGCCCGATGCTTACAAATATTATCAGTAAATAATGTTTTATGTATTAATCTAGTTCGATATGAGAATATAACTAAGATGGCACCGCGGATGGCTGTTGTGGTTTGTCTTGTTTTCTGTGTTGATTCAGTTTTTACACTTTTTTATCATGGTTTTATTTTTATGTATGTATTTTTATGTATGTATTTTTATGTATGTATTTTTATGTATGCACCAAAAACACCAAGACAAATTCCTCGTATGTGTCGACCTACTTGGCAATAAACCTGTTTCTGATTGTGATTGATCCCTTGCTGGAATACAACTACTTACAAATATTGAAACTGAAAATGTCCACCTTCGACAGATTCAACAAAAGAGTGATGAACACATGAATACATCAATAAATATAATTAAATAACATGACAATATTAATCTAAAGTGCGTCCAGATTTCTTTATTTTTATACTAATTACATGTTTCTGAATAAGTGAGCATTTGACTGCAGGATAACAGAGTATTTATACACCATAAAAGTACTGCACATGGACTGTTCAAAGTGACGTGTTTTATGGCAGGAAAAGCACAGAAAGGCCATTGACGGAGCTGGAATGATGTCAAAGCCCGGGGTTACATCTGAATGATCACGCTGCACTGTGCTTCAAACTGAAACCCTCTGAAGTGGATGGCGATAAATTCTTAGTGACAGTTGTACTCCTTTAAAGTTTACATCAGTGTGAGAACACATCAGTCCTGATATGACATCTTTAAGACAGGTCAAAGGTCCCAAGACAGTTTAGCTCAAGATGATATACCAGTCTGGGATAAAAGTGGAGAGAGTGGATGACTTGATATTGTTGCTATCCAAGAAAATACATATCTATGATGAGTTAGAGACAGGGACGTGCACAGGTACGGGTTATTGTTGCCCGGGCAACGGCCCGTTTGGCCTTTCTGGCTGACCTGCCCCTCTGGAGAGAGCGAGAGTTTGATTTTCTTTTTTCTGTTGTGGCCGAATCAACATGATGAGCCCACAATTAGTATTGTAGCGTCTCGCTGCGGGAAACACACTTTGTCAGCGCTATCATCTGCCGGTGCGTTGAGACCACCTCAGTGTCGGATTTTGGAAACTTGATTTTGAGTTGTCTCATGGCAGTTAGGGTATAAGGGACAAACCAGGGGACTTTACCTTTAAATAAGTTACAATTTTCAAAAGGTCTTATGTTTTTGTCGGGGGGAGGCCCTTTTTCCAGTTTAGAGCAATAGCCCCTCCAAATGTCTGAGCACGTCCCTGAGACACTTATTGGATCAGTGGAGAGGATTATGGAGTCATTTTACAGCTCGAGTGTCAGGACCTCGACACAAACTGATGAACCCAAATGCACGACCAGAGACAAAGTCTTGAACATAAAAACATGTATATTCATACAGTGCAGGTAATCCCTCTTAACAGAGTAATAATAATAAATTATATTTCTATAGCGCTTTTCTTGAACCCAAAGACGCTTTACATTTGGGAGGGAGGGTAGACAAACAAAACAAAACCTACCTAGAGTAGGTGGTGGAAAAAACAAAAGGCGCTCACAAGGAGGAAAAAACTAGCGTAACAAAAAGAGGACTTAATAAAAACTTAAGCCTAACAAAATAAACCAAATTAACAAAACCTGACATGAGAGAAAGCGAAGGTTGGCTGTGCTGAAGGTTGGCACGACCATTCGGGGAAACAAACACGACGAACTGACACAGGATAGGGGAGAGACAGGACTGTTTAAACATGAGGTGAGTGGGGACAGGTGGAAACAATCAGGGGCGGGGCAGACGCTGATGAAGGCGGGAAAAACACACAGGGGGTGTTTCTCAATGTCGAGGAAGGCTGCTCCAGAGCCACTATTTCAAGCATACTACGTCATTGAGTCCCGCCGAAGGACTGTTCCAATGTCCAGCATTCTTGGAATGCTACCGAGCCCGGCGTACTTCGTTTGGAGAAATGTCGAGGCTGCACATGTGTAGACTCCGCGGTCTTAAAATCCCCACAATGCTTTGCGCACGGACCAATTTCCCCAAATCTGTGGTGGAAAATGTAAGGCGGGGCGTCTCATATGAAGCACACCTGCACACTTGCTCGCCTGTTCCACTCTTCGTTTTCCGAATGCCAGGAAGGATTCTTGCCTCGCTTCTGAAGCAAGACGCTCGGAAGACATGTGCTACCAAGCAAGCGTACTCGACATTGAGGGGGAGGAAGAAAACAGGGCTTGAAATGAAAGACAAAATACATAAACTAACACATTTGACGAGACACAACATCGAGTTACCTTTAAAGGCAGTGGCGGGCCGTGCATTTCACACCTAGGCCTTCAGTGATGTCCGACACAGTCCTACCTGAATTATTGTTTGTGGACAGGTGGTAATGCAAGTCTGTGTTGTTCTCAGCAAGCAAAGAAAGAAGCTCCACGTAGTTTCCTCTGTTTCTGGACTCGGCGCTTTCATCATGTCCCCTAAATGAAAGTTCCTGTTTACCCAAAAACAGGACACAATCAATCAGTCTTTTCAATATTTCCCTATTTTTGTTCACCCTTTCGTTGTGGAGCTCCGTTTCCCGTCGCACTTGTTCGTTGAGCTGTAGATCCACTCGGGTGTCCCCAAAGGTTTTCAAAAGCACCATTGCTTGTAAGTGCCCAGCCGTGCTTTGGTGTCTCGTTGCTGCCTTGGTTAGACAACTCAAGTTTGCAAATCCAGTGTGGCTCCAAACACCAAATCGATCATTTGCAAATAGCAGGCATTCCCAGCAGTACAATTTGCAGTGCCTCTCGGAGGCTGTGAGCCAGGCGTACCGCTCGTAGTTAGTGATTTGAAAGTGGCGGACAAACCCTTTCCCCCGCTGTGATAGGCTCGCTAGCGTCGGGGTTGGCCGTTCTCTTCTCACAATGTCTAGCTTTTCTTGAAAAGTTCGTCTTGAAAATGGCGTTGTAATTATATCTGCGACCAAATCGATCTCTTCTCCTTCAGCCATTGTGGGTTGAAAAAAAACAGCTTGTAGAAATCTACACAAATTAGCTCGTTCAAATTCAAGTTCAGTTTGCTAGCTCTACATAGCTCTGCCTCTCAATAGTGCGTATCCAATCAAAAGACGTGCACGTGCTGACGTCATCGTACGCCTGCTAGCTGGCCCGTTGTCGCCAACTCAAAATCTGATTGGTTAACGCCACAGTTTTGTTTCCGTTCACTTTAAGCTACAGGCGCCCGCACTGTTGATTCTGAAGGCCTAAGGGCAGATTTCTTGGACCCTGGCAACACATTATGGCTGAAATATGATTGGATAAAAGCTCTAACATAAAGGCCAGCCCTCCAAATCTTGTTCTGAGGCTGGAAGCAGCGCAACCAAGAGGAAAGCTATGAAATGAAAAGAATAGACTATGGGGAATAATTTAATACATATTTGTGGAAAAAATATATCAAAATTAAATTTATATTCTGATGATGTTTAGGCCAGCAGAGAAGGCCTTGCTGGCCCTGACGGCCCACCACTGTTTAAAGGTAAACAGCATCATCCATTTCACACCGGCATTACATTATTCTATACTGAATTTGCAGAGTTTATGGTCAAAGAAATGAAAAAGTCAGCATTTCACTGCCTGAGTTTTTTGTTAAATCAAAACATTGCACGATTACAATTGCTAGGAGGTATTTTATTTTGTTGGCATGTGTACACTACAACTTGCTGAAGAAGATAAATACGGCCTGCAAAGTGTCCCAAGAGTCATCTTTTCAATAATGGTGTTTGGAGATTCATCTGGAAATCGGCAAACAATTAGTGGATCTCGTCGTTGTTGTTTTGAAGCTTGGTAGTGTTGATAATGCTTCACTCTTAAGACTATTGCTGCCTTATCACACAAGACAAGCAGTTTTCAGTGTATTTGACCTCAGAAAGCTCTGTGTGTGTGTGTGTGTGTGTGTGTGTGTGTGTGTGTGTGTGTGTGTGTGTGTGTGTGTGTGTGTGTGTGTGGTGTGTGTGTGTGTGTGTGTGTGTGTGTGTGTGTGTGTGTGTGTGTGTGTGTGTGTGTGTGTGTGTGTGTGTGTGTGTGTGTGTGTGTGTGTGTGTGTGTGTGTGTGTGTGTGTGTGTGTGTGCTCAAACTACATGGGATGGCCACAATAATAGGAACATATTGTTGAGATGAAAAGGAAAAGGAGGAAAGAGGTGTTCACTTTATATTTTGGGTGTTAACTATTGAAATCAGTCAGAGCTAAGTGATCTTGTTCAAAGTTCAATAAATACAATTCCTCAATGAAAACAAATAAAAAAAACATTGCACTTATAGGTAATTAATGTATATTTCCATCATATCTCATAGTAAACAATGTATTTGAATCCCACACCAGCCTAGTTCTACTTCCTCTCCTTACACTTTAATACACGTCTCATCAATGTTAAGAGATACACAATATAAATACTGAGTGATAACACCTGAAACCATCCCAGTGTGTCTAAGGACCAATGGATTACTTCCTGTCGTGGAGGCCCCGCGCCCTCATGTAACCCCGCCCCCTTTACACACACCTGCAGCCGCACCTGCCCACACACACCTCACCTCTCCGGCTCAGGAAACACACAACACACAACACACACACACCTCATTATCTCCCCTCTCCCCCCGGATATGCGCGAGCTGCTCTCTTACCTGCACGAGCCGGAGCTGGTGGCCCGGTTCCAGAGGCGATGCGGACTCTTTCTGGTCCGGGACCCGCATCACGGTCCACAGAGGAAGAGAGAGCACGCTGCGGACGAAGCACGTGCACAGCGGAACGGAAGATGGGACCACCAGGATAATAATTCTAATTATGAAATCCAACAGAATGGATGTGCTGTTAATGTGAGTCTGAGTAAACACGCATTTTTCATATTCAAAATAGAAACCAAACATCATGTAAGGAAACATTTCCTAAATCGTGTGGCACTAAAAAAACAAGTTTAGCATATTAAAGAGCCTGGTTTGCATTGTTTGTTTAATTAAGGAGGTAATATTGACACGCATGCGTACTACTGCTAATAACATGTTAAAAGGAGCATGTCAAATCTTGAAATCTAGAAGAGGTAAAAATGCAACATGTGTACTATTGTAGATAAAGTATTAACAAGACTATGTATTTTCTTAATGTAGGAAGTTAGTTACAGGCAACAGGTTTTTTAGAGTAAATATCATATTTAAATAGTAATGTCAAGTCTTGAAATCTAGCAAGTTAGAGGTAAACAGGTGTACTAGAGTACGTATTCAAATGACATGGGTCAATTCTTGAAATCTAGGAAGTTAGAGTAAAAGGCAACATGTTTCTAGTGTAAATATCATATTTAAGTAGGCTACATGTCGGTTCTTGAGATCTAGGAACTGACATGCCGCGTGCAGGAACTAGAAAGTAAGGGATTACAATTAGATGCGAAGCAAAGTGCGACTGGATTTTCTCGTTCGTCCGGGTGTGTCTGTCACCAGATCCTCATCCAAACACAGATCAGACCGCGTGGGAAGTTTACATTCTTCCGTCTCTCTGTTTTTACGCAAAGTGTTTATTCAGGATTATCAGGATGAAGATTAAACAAGGTCAAGCTACTTACAGGTTTATAAGATCCCTTGATAATGTGCAGGGTGGAGTCCGGCATATAAATAGTTGAATTAATCTAAAAACAGCAATGATTGGTTCCTAAAATGCTCATGTAGCTTCAGTATTATATCAGGGCCATCAAGTAAATGTAGGAACTGAGACATTGTTATAGAAGAATGAGTCGTAATATAAAACTATTCAAGGGTAGCCTACTTCACCTGTAAACACAGTTAATGTGTAATGTGTGTGTTAACCCTGGCATTATGTGATATATTGACCGGGGTTATCTCGGGTTGGAAACTTTAGATCCATGAGAGAAAGGCTACTGGCTGTTTTTTTACCTGTATTACTTAAGAGTTATAAGTATACTTAACATGTGATGTGGTAAGAGAGACATTATAAACATGTGACGTGCAATAAGCATAATATTGTGCGCTTCTTTAATCAATTAAAAAGATCAATTCAAGACATGTTGACATGCTGGCTGTTTATAGAGGAAGTAGAGATGATGTGAAACAGGTGATTTTAACCGACACAGGGTGTGGCTGCTGCTTGTTGATATTAATCAGAAACCGTTTAGGACAGTCTGACATCTAAGAATATCAGTTTAGGTTTTAAATGTAGGATTGTTGATACAACAGCGGTATGTTTCCTATATGTTATCTAAAGATAGCGATCTCAAAAGGTTCACACATACATTAGGATGACGGAAAGCGTCTATGTGATACAGATAGGGCTGTAACCAGGGCAACATGAGCACCAACATACAGTATAGCAATTAAAAAGGCTACACTTTTTGCATTTGTTTTATGTCCTATATTCATGTCGCACTGTTGGAGGAGCCTGACTTACGTTTTCCATTGCCATATCGAAACTGTAGCTTTTGTGCACATGACAATAACGCCTTGAATCTTCTGATGACACAGATTATTAGAAATATCTATAATAAATAGATAATAAGCCGATTCAGATTGGGGTTTCCTCTCCTTCGCCAACGTAAGAAGTGGCTCTTTTCCATTTACCGACAGAATTAAACCACTTTCTGTCCATCATAGCTTCTGATATGCATGACATCAATGCGCACATTGTACACAATATCTGTTTTCTTTTTTTGTATCACTGCCGAATTTTATTCTATATTTTATTCCATTTGACTCCATTCTATTTCTATGTAAATACTGCTATATTTTACTATATTCTTTTAATTATGTTTTAATCTTATTATAGTTTTCTTTAAAAAGTTCTCTATCTTTGTTTTTACATTTTTGTTTTACTTGTATGTATGCACCATGACATCAAGTCAAATTCCTTGAACCTACCTGGCATTAGAGCGGTGCAGGGAAGACGTGTTTACCCGGAAGTAAGCTGCCGGTTCCCTCGACACAAAGCGATGGGATTTCTCCAGAGGATTTAGGAAAATAGCTGGAAATAAGGTCTGTGGAAAACAAACCTGTTTGATAAATGCACGTTTTGTTCAGCCGGATAATCTCCACATGTCTACCCTACTTTTAGAATGTTCGAATCATAAATCTAGCGTTAACATTATGCTATAAAGGAACTACAGCCGAGTCCAGCAGCGCGACTTCAACGTCACGCCAACTTCAGATCCATATTCAAACACACAGATTCTAAATGGAACGAGTTGAAGCGTTTGTTTGAACACTTTGCAGGAGGCAGGGACTTGCTTTCAAGCAGAACAGAAACTAACTTAGAGGAGTGTTTACGTGTTCGGCGTAATGACGTACAACGGCCTCCACGACTTCTGTAGTCCTATTCAGCCACTTGGTAACAACCATCGTTTCTCAGACACGTCAACTCTTCAGAAATCACCAGCGGGGTCACTGCTGATGGATTTAATGTCGTAGAACAAAACGTGATCCGTCTCTTCAATGTGTCTCAACCACAGACCTTATTTCAGCTACTTTCCTAAACCCTATGGAGAGATCCCATTGGCTCTGAGACGAGGGAACAGGAAGTGGAGAAATGCTGACTCACTTCCGGGTTTTAGGACTCGTCACTGCACCGCTCTATACACCCGATTCTGATTCTGATATAATAGCTTATCTGGTATATTTCTCTGTGACGAGGCCCCTGGTCTGAAGGTATCTTGTGTTTCCTCTCTCCTCAGTTCGAGGTGAGAAACCGGTTTCTGCACGTCCTGTTCCTGGTGTCTGCCGCTCTGGGTCATGAAGTCTTCTACATCACCTGCCTGCCCTTCGTCCACTGGAGCCTCGACCCCTTCCTGTGCCGACGCCTCGTCAACATGTGGACCGTAAGTCACGTAAATGTATCCTCTTTGTTTCATACTCTTTACATTCCACATCTTCTTCATATTGTACGAGTACACCGTCTTTGAATTCTTCTTTGTGTTTGGATCCTTCCTCAGATTCTTAGGAGACGTTTTCTCTGCATTGTTCTTCGTATTACTCTTCTTTGTGTTATTCTTGTTTTAATTCTTCTGTGTGTTTTCTTCTTCCTTTCTTCGTATTCATCTTCCCTTCCTTTGTTTTAAAAATCTTCTTCTCCTTCGTCTTCCATTTCTTCTTCTTCTCTGTCTTCTCCTTCTCCCTCAGTCTGATGCTCCACAAAGCCACCTCTCTTCTCTCTTCTGCTCTTCATCTCCGTCTCTTCACCTCTCAACCTCCTTTCATCCTCCTCCCCTCCACTGACCTGTCTCTGACACCATGTCCATATCCTCCGGCCATGAGGGGTGGGGGGGGGGGGGCACAGGGTCCAAGCCCCTTGACACGATGAGAGGCCACACATGAGGACGTTAGAGGGAGAACAAAAACGTCCATGATCTCCTCTTCAGATGTTTAGCAGAATCCGCCACATTACGATACAAGACCCTGTAAATGCGTCAAATGCGGCGTCTTGAGGGGGTTTCCCGACATGTCGTTGCAGTAAATTAAAGGGTGTTTCATGTTGTCGTTGCTGTGGACCTTCTTAATCTACCTTCTTTGGGGGCCCCTTCTGGTCCGGGGCCCCGAGCAGTTGCCTGGCTTGCCTGTTCGCAAGCAGCGGCCCTGCGCCCAGCTCTATTCCAGTTATGGGGAAGAAATACGGCCAAAAACATTTTAACTGGGAAATGGTATATATCATGATACTGTAATGGTTTTGTAAATTATATTAAGAAATTGTGTGAAGTAAGGGTTAGTACTTCATCACATCAGAGTATTTTCTTATTGTATTTGCCTCAAATGAGACAACACTTAAAAACAAATCTTAAACCAGTCAAATAATTCAAAACAGATGATTAAGGCCACAAGAAACGCTTACAGATTGAAATATATAACGATACAGTAATTGAGATTTAGTGGAACCTGCACAACATAGAAATTCTCAAGTACAAGTATCTCAGACTTGTGCTTTAAGTTCAATATTTTAATGATTGTATTTAGTTACGTTCCTGCAAATACATTAGAAACACCAGGCTAAGTTTAACGATCGTTACCAATCAATTGTTAAGTCTGTAGAAAGCAATTCGTAGGCAGAGATACTTCTGCACCTCCACAATACTTAATTAAAATACATTTTGTACACATAGTTAGTCTTGAAAGAACGTTGTGCTTCCTGCAATTTGAATATTTGTGCATTTCTACAATTGCGCAACACATACGTTTATATCGCCCAAACCTCCTCTGCCCTGTGTGTGTTTCTGCCCTTTGTGTCCCCGCCCTGGCTCTGAACCCCCTTTCGTTTGGCCCCCCAGTGGAAGAGACTCCATTCTTCTGACTGCACCAGGCCCCTGTGTGAACTCCCCATAAACACACACACACACACACACACACACACACACACACACACACACACACACACACACACACACTCGTCTGCTAAACATACTCATTGCCCTCCCTCTAGTTAGACATTACCAGCTTTACTCGGCGTCCTCCTCCCCTTAGTCTAGCTGAGTGTTTTATTGGCCTCATCAGAGCTTTCTCTCTCCGGACCCAACATTTGGTGTGTGTGTGTCTATGTGTGTGTGTGTGTGTGTGTGTGTGTGTCTATGTGTGTGTGTGTGTGTGTGTGTCAGCCCTCGGGGCGCGTCACCCCACACTCCTCACTTCTAACAGCACCAAGTCTTTGTGCTGCTGGAGTTATCCAAGGTTCATGGAGGACTGTCTGTCTCTGTCTGTCTCACACACAACGCTGACAACTCATGCCAACATTTCAAGTACATGTGAAGTACATTCATGCGAAAATGAAGACAAGTATGCAGGAGCAAATGCATGGCAAGACCCACGTAAAGACATCATCATATTTGAGAAAGGATGTTCATGTTGGCGTGAAGGATTACTTTTGCTTTTGAGTAAGATTTAAGTCTGCAGCTTTTTATATATGGATATAGTTGGACCATGCTAAGGTTGTGTTTGTTATATTTGTTATTATCAGTGACAGGTGATGGAACCGAAACACAGCAAAAACCATGTGTTTGAATACAATAAGTTCAATGTGTTACATCATTTGAATTTCTTCTAAAATCCAATAGTAAATGAATAAAATGTAAAGAAGCATAGAAAAAGATAGAAGATTGCATCCCTACTCATACAAGCATGTTGTCACGGCTGCTGCCTTCTTGGTCCTCTTAACTGTGCTAATACGTAGATGAGCTGTGCGGTTGCCCTGACGTGATTGGCTGCCATCTCCTGGTCCGCCCCCTGAGGATTGTGATTGGAGCACCTCCCTTTGTTAGTCTGTACCACTTTAATAGTGAGGGTTGTTATTTAGTTCGTTAGTACCTATTTCTTTGTATGTAAGTAGACTCAGTTTTTAGAGTCCTCCTTTTGTTTGGTTAGTTATCAACCTGTGCCCTTTTGGCCTTTTTGTTTGTTCCTGGCTTCATGCCTGCCATTTTGTTTCACACTGTTTTATAATAAAACTATTTCCAATTCCAACTGGTGTGTGTTGCACTTCCTCAGTGGGGACGTAACACATGTACATACTTGCTAAAAATAGTTTTTTAAATTCCAGTACGCTAGCAAAATAACCTGTGTTGACTGTGTTTAACGTGCAGTCTAGTTTTTAATGCAATATTATGGCAATTAGTGTTGAAACGTGAAGTTAGTAGCGGACCAGGTGAGATGTCATCTGGATGGAAATCACCTGCCATGTTGCTGCAATTTACCTGCGTCCACGTTTTACCTGCCTCTTGTGAGTTCACACTGTGTATGGTCTTCACTAAAGGTTTGGGATTTTATAGAACACGAGTCAGCAGTGAGATGTCCTTGTAAACCAAGTAGCCTAGAAAACACACACACAAACACACACACACACACACACCCTTATTATAAACACACTCACCTTCTGTCCTTCTTTACTCTGTTCATTTGCTTGCAGGGTGACTTTGGTCGACTTAGAAAACAGTAGCTGTCATTAACCATATGGTCCTGAATTACATTGTCGCGTTGCATGGCTTAAATTTGCAGCATAATTTCATGCAAATGATGCACCTACTGTGCTGTTAGGAATATCAAAAAGCTGTAAGTTGTACATAGAGGGCAAACAATGTGACGTGGGTAATGTTAACGATGACAGAGGATGGCCACGTTCAATGACAAACACTCACCTTATCCGCAGAAGACAAAACTTGGACTTGGATTAGCAATCATTGATGAAGGCAGGAGATCAGAATCTGTTGTTATGCCAGTACAAACTGTGTGACCACAGTTTCCTTGTAATGATGACAAGGCAAGATCACATTGTTTGTACTGGCATAACAACTGCATTGTTCTGCATCAAGTTAACAGTACAAAAATGAACAACAACATTTGAGTCAGTGATAAAGTATTTTAGTTCAGAAGTTAGCATCTCCCCGGTTCCCTCAACAAAAAGCCAATGGGAGTTTTCCATTGGGTATTTGGACTGTTGCAGAAATGAAGCTGTCTTTTCATGATACTTTCAGTTTGTTGAATAAATGTGATGTTCATTTGTTAGATTATCTTGCTAAACCATATGTTTGAAGCATACACATCTAATGTCAGGTTATACAGGAGGAACAGTGTAATGTGTGGTGTGTGTGTGTGTGTGTGTGTGTGTGTGTGTGTGTGTGTGTGTGTGTTGTGTGTGTGTGTGTGTGTGTGTGTGGGTGTGTGTGTGTGTGTGTGTGTGTGTGTGTGTGTGTGTGTGTGTGTGTGTGTGTGTGTGTGTGTGTGTGTGTGTGTGTGTGTGTGTGTGTGTGTGTGTGTGTGTGTGTGTGTGTGTGTGTGTGTGTGTGTGTGTGTGTGTGTGTGTGTGTGTGTGTGTGTGTGTGTGTGTGTGTGTGTGTGTGTGTGTGTGTGTGTGTGTGTGTGTGTGTGTGTGTGTGTGTGTGTGTGTGTGTGTGTGTGTGTGTGTGTGTGTGTGTGTGTGTGTGTGTGTGTGTGTGTGTGTGTGTGTGTGTGTGTGTGTGTGTGTGTGTGTGTGTGTGTGTGTGTGTGTGTAATGGTGGACATCATGGTCACGGAGAACAGTAACAAGGAGGAAGATGATGAAAAGTAGTGGACCCAGTAATAACCCCTGGGGAACACCTCGTGAAATGAAATAGCATTTTGACTTGAGGTTGTTGATTTGAAGATATTCAGCGTGGAATTATCAAAACCAAGCAAGTGTAACATTAGTTATACCCAATAGGCGCATTCACACCGCAGTACTTTTCCCACAAAGGTTCATGAGAACTCTTTTGTCGCGTTCACACCAAAAAGAGCCGGTACTAAAATTAGTTCATGTCTGATTGGCTGGGCGGATTGCAAACCACGCCCCGTAAAACTCCCAAAAAGTTTTGTGAAGCCGCCATTTTATTATCCTCGCATTAGCATTATTAGCATTAGCATTAGCCCAGCGCAGAAACGCAGAGAGACTAACTTATGGCAACACAAAATAAAACATGGGAGCGGTGGAGATGAGGAGGTGTCGGTGTTCTGGCGATTTACTCGGAAGGCTTCAGTAGAAGCTGCTGGGAGTCCCAGCAGCTTCTACTGAAGCCAGTCCCCAACTCCGGGGACTTCCGGCTGGGGACTTTGGGCGGCAGTATACGCCGTGAAGTGTTTTGCGGCCTGCCAGTAAACCCAAAGCAGAAGAAGAAGAAGAGACGTCAGCGGCTTCATTTGCCTAATCCTCCCTCAGGGACTTATTCCAGTGTGAACGCGATCTGTACTTAGTTCATTAGAACTAAAGAGTTCTCGAGAACTAAAGAGTTCTCATGAACCTTTGTGGGAAAAGTACTGCGGTGTGAATGCGCCTAATGTCAGGCAGGTGTTCAATGAGTATTTGGGGCGTTGTCTGTTTTAAACTAGACAAAAAAGCATC